AAAGGACGAAGTAGAGCTGCGTGTTCGACGCAGGATTTGCCTTCAGACGCAGGGACACTATTCCTAGTTAGACTATGTCTATATAGACTCCAACAAGCAGTCGATATCACGTAGAACTTCGAATTTCCGATGTGGAGACACACGGACGTGTGAGTGTACAATACTTGTTGACATTAAACATTGTTGCGTCGCGGCGACGTGTCCGAGCTACCGTGAAATACCTTAATGAATGGCACGCTCCTACCAACTTAAACACGGTAGATCTAATTTGGACACAGTTTCCAACACTCAGATCATATGACGTGCTATACGAGATAATTTAGTACTATTCTATCAAAGGATTACTTTACAAAACTTTGCAATGCTTTATCTCTTTTTCCAATTAATTTAGTGGATATTGTTTCGATTTTTTTTCCATTTTTAGACAATTTCCCATTGTATTATTAAACTTATTTTATAATTCGCAATTTCTAAACTAGAAAAATAAAGTGTAAAGTGATAAAATTGCGGAAATTTAGAATTGTTTTAAACCGTTTTGCAATTGTTTTTTAGCAGCTTTAAAATTTAACGTTAAGAATTACTTTTACGGTCCCTTTTATCGCGCACAAGAATTTTGTAAAAACATTATTACAAATCTACGCATACATCTTTCGTAAAATCTATGATAGTTTATATATATTAATAATTTAATGTAACATCTTGTGGCCGGAATGTGCAGAGTGAATGCTGGCATCATACGGACATCGAATATAGCATCGTAAATAGCGGAAATATTTAGAATAGCTTCCGTATCTTCATCTCTCCAATAGTTCGTACTGTGCGTAACGTCGTTCGCGGACTACATGGTCAAGAATTTCTATTGCTGGAATAGTACACATTTTCATCGTGAAAACACGCAAAGGTTCACTGTTCGCTAACAAATCGATATACCACTTCACGCAGATTCTTGGATCACATTGTATTAATATACACAACAAGGAATTTACGAGATGGGACATTCTAGAATGGTGATGCAAGCTGAATTCTTTGAAAAATCGAGACATTGACATCCGCCAAAAAGATGCATCATGTTAGTGAATTTGCGAGAGCGGAGATCGCGGGATAAAATGAAACATATTTCGATGCGCTCGAACTCACATCGTGTATCGACGCCAATCACCATAAATCCGGACAGTCATTTTATGCACTCATGCGATAGGCAATGTCGATCATGAAACAGAACGAAGCGGTAGGTAAAAGATAAAAGATAACATGTTTTTGGGGAACGTACCGTGGATCGTAACTAACATTATAAAAATCTCGCACGCGATCAATTACTTTTTAATTCTATTAAAAATAAATTCCAATTTCATCAAAAAATCTATCATTGAAATTAATATTGGGATTTCTACGATATGCTGGATATACATATGCAATGAAAAGTAAAACAAGTATAAGTTAAATTAATTATGTTACACGTATTTTTCCAATCTAGAACGTTGACATTTTCATCGGTCAAAAAGCTTTGTAGACTTAGGGACATTTCGACAATCTCTTCTCGATTATCTTAACACGCGCGCAATTACATGATAAAAAAGAAAGCCTTTAATCCTATTCCTACTCCACGTCATTTATCGCACAATTTCTCGCTGGTACAAGCGACGAAAAGAACTTGCACGCCACAGCGGACTTTCTCGCTGTGTAGATGCATTCGCGAAAACGTGCAATGATTCCGAGCGTATGAGCATAACAATAAACTACTCAGACTCGCGGAAGCAGAAGGAAGCATCCACTTGTGCAATCCCTCTTCTCATTCTCTTCTCTCGACTGCATATTCGTATGCGCGTATACAGGACGGCGGTCGTGGCTCCGCAGCTTACCTCTTCTCTCAAGAGACAGAAAAAGAAATATGAAAGCGACTTAGGAATAACGCCTAAAACTCCTGCCGTCGAGATGCGCGTAATAATAGCGTACTCCGGCATATGCCGCGGAAAGGAGACTTAATATTCGCATGATCCCCGTAATTGCTGCGCGCCGGATTCCCTTGGGGACGATTTGCGGTTCTGGCTCGTCACGTTGCTTTCTCTCATCGTCGGCCGATTTGTCGGCGCGTTTCTCGCGTTTCTCGCGTCAAAAAAATATTTCGCTGATGTAGTTAGATTTCTAGATATCGCAACAAGAATGTATCGCTATTTTTCGTATCTGTAAAAACATTGTTTGTCACATATAGAATTTATAGCAGTAATGTTCTAGCAATAGCTTCTGAAAAATTTAGGTACCATTGCTAAATGTTATTCATTGCATGATCTAACACGTGATTGATCTTATATAGATAGGCGCTTTAGAGAAACTTTCTTTTTAAAGTTCACAAACAATACAGATATATATTCTGTTTCTGTCATCTAAACTGATTAAGTAATTACATATGCAATATCACAACAGTTGCTAATCATTTATCTGTTTTAGTTAATTTTTTACACCTAGAAAATTTTAGCTATTATTGCAAGATTTTTTCGAGTGTAACATCCAGTCGACAAAAATTTTTTTTCACTAATAAAAGTGTGCGATCGATGGATGTGCGTAGAATACGCTAAGCGCCACAGAACACAATCGTATTACACAGCGATACAGTTATCCTTTTGATCACGTATTCGTTTTAGAGATTTGCGACAGATCGTACTGTATTATTCCGCTTATTGTTAGTTCCACTTTGATTTTTTTTTATTATTCAATTTTTTTGATAATTATACAATTGTTACGAATTATTTACGAAATATATTTGCCATTAATTTAATAAAGTTTTTACACGCGTATATGAATGTATATGAGAAAATATATTTGGAATAATGTTCAATATAAGCGATCAATTTCGAAAATACTTATTGCAATCTTTTATGTTGATATAAACTGATTCTCCGTTGCATTAAACATTTTGGAGGCGAATGGACATGTTTTCATTACCGAAACACTACTTCAACTTGGGTGGTGCACGAAAGATAAACGCTGGGAAATTATAGCGCGACCACTGGGACGCGGAGAAATATACGCAGAGACGGAAGAAAAGGGAGCAATGTCTCTTCGAGCTACCGTGTAGGCGAACACGAGCGAACGTGGACAATATGTGACGTCGATATAAATTACTCCATAGTTTAACGGTGCATTCCAGCTAGATCCGCGAGTAGCAATAATGTTGGCAAACGTTATTCTACGCTGGTGTCGCACTAGACTGGTCCGTTGAAATTAGTTATCACTGTGTAAGCATTGAATATACGACATGACTTGCATACATTGTATCGCACGCCGCAGGACTTTCCGCACACAAAGTTTCCCCGGTCACTTGCTTTCAGCAATATGAGATTACTGACAGATTACTTGTCATAATGGAAAGCTCGCATCACCTGTGACATTTTTATATAATTGTCGAACAATTGAAAAATATGTTTTTAATGGAATAATAAAATTAATAAAAGTATTCAATCCCTAACTAAAGTAAGCAAAAAACCGTTTTATTTAATTTAATCAGCATAAAAAATTCGGAAATACGCTATAAAAAAAGAGTAGAATGTCTTCTTTCGAATGAATTCACATGATATCTTGCAAGTAATTACCAACTTCACGATCTTAATCCATCTTATACTTAACTAAAAGCTTATTCACGATCTCCACGGTGTTTGATGATTTAACTACCGTACTATTTACATAAGTATGAAAATTTGTGCTATAGTAAGCCAAAGTTCTCAAGTGGTTGGCGAAGTTATTTTAATTCCCCGAAGAAACGTATTCGGTTCTCGTGAAACGCGAGTAATCGGTTAAACGCGTGAAACATAAATTTGGAAAGTATTGGAAATGAAACGATGTAGATAAGCGTTGTATAAAAAATGAACTAAAAATCCGAATAGAAACATGATTAATTTTAAGAAAATGCATATTGTATTATTGTTAATTTTACATTACAGTAAGAGGTGGTTCTTTTAGGGAAATTATAGATTATTTTATAAAAAAGTTCTTGTTAAGAAAATTATTATTAACCACATGTTACTCGTCAAGACATATCATCGCAAATATGTTTAGTATCAAGTAATTTGTACTTAAATTATGACAAATATATAAAGTAGCATTATGAGTTACTTTTACACTTGATATTCAAGTTGCAACCACTTAAGTAAACGAGGAGCAAACAGGCAAAATCCGCGGCGGCGTCACCATTCTAGGAGACAAAGGAGGCACGCGAGAGACGGGAGCGAAGAGACAGGGACGAAGATGGATCGCGTCGATCCTACTTGCTTTGTACGTTCTATGCGCCGCGATGTTTCGCAAGTTCCTCCCCGGTGCTTGAATCCTTCCTGCGTAATGTGTAACGCTCTCCTGAAATTTCTCGAAGACATTTAACGTGACGCCTCCGTAGCCGGTAAATGTTAGAAACGGGGTAGAGCGTCGGTGACAAGAGAGTGCTCATCGTATTACGATGTGCAGAGTGCACCGAATCTGTGCAAATTTCGAGACATTATTGTCGGGAGGAGTTTGCGTCTATGCCGCGGAGAAAAGCTCTAATCAGAACGAAAGGTTAACTAATTTGTTGTCCCGTGTCTTCTGAAATCCGACCTATTTACATAATACATTCTTTATGGATGCAATCATACTAATAAATTTCAGAATGTTTATAGCTATTCAAATTGTTGCGCGCATGTGTCATAAATACTTATAGTCTGTTATCTGTAGCATGCAGTCTGATGCAGCATCAGAAAGAAATCAAAATCAAAAAACTGTTTTTCTAATTAATATTTATCCATTTTGGAAAAGTGTGTAGAAAGTGTACCTATAGAAAGAATATACATTGAGATGTAATATAATTTCTAAGAAATTTAAAATCAAATAATTTATCATGATTCGAAACTTTTTTAAATATTTGCATTTCATATAATTCCAATTTGTTTAGCAATAATAATAAAGTAACGTGATATTATTTGTAAGTAAGCAACGATCAGAGATACTGAAGACAGGCTCAATTTCCTTATTTACAGAAGAAGAAGTCACGGTTGATCGATTCGCAGCATATCGTCATAATTCTCGTCGTTTTCTCCCTAATTATGTTTGGCATGAGCTTCGCCTTCGTCTTCAATTGCGTCCGGAAACTCATCCGCGATCATCGCATTATCCAGGTGAGTGAATTTTATTTTCGCATCAATGACTCGCGTTCTCTTTTGTGTCTTTAGTCTCTACACGAGGGAAACGCGGTTTTTACGGAAATACGCTCGGGTTTCCTGTTACCAAAGATTTCGAAAGATATTTTATACGAATCATTCCATGGACAATTCTCTTCCTAAATACTTATCTCGTATTATTTACATATATAGAATCGTTAGTTACGCTAAAAACTTGGTTGTAAACTTTATTAAATCGACCGTACGCTCTCTTACAACGGCAAGAGCTTTTCTTTTTATGATCGCACAATATTTCAGTGAGCCCGCACAATTTATAGATCCTCCGTGACGTGACATTGCTTCGGCGTTTTTATTGCCCGTCATTAAAATCCGAGAAACGGCGGAAGTATTTATTCCGGCGTTTCCAAGTTTGCACAAATAAGCGCGACAATTCTGCATCGACTTTTCCGAGGACTGTAACATATTATCGTTCTCATTTATTTAAGCGTTTAAAATCCAATATTCCGAATTTTTACAGTGACAAAAACGAACTGTTTATTTTACAATTTGCTACTAAATACTGTCATTTGTTTTATTACGTTGCCGCAAAATGCAGTAATATTTCAGCTGTATGTAATGATAATAATAACATTTCCTCAAACGATCATGCTAATATAAACGTTGAGGGAAGCAAATTTTGCGTCCAAAATTCTGTTTCGTTATTACAATGTAAATGTTGCGGCACTTGTTATATGCCACATTTATATTATATATAAAATATTATTAACTGTTTTGTTATCAAATTTTCATCAACATAAATCCAGTTTATTAGTAATTTATGATTATATTTAAATTATAGTTAAATTAATTATAATTAAATGCATATTCTGCTTTATTTTTCAAGTTAATTTAGCTCATTTTAGCAACAATTACATGCAAATCAAACGAAATACTTCGATTAAATTGCAAAGTAAGTCTATTAATACAAGTTTATTCTCTTTTAAATATTATATCATATTAAATACGCTATCAAAAATAAATCGTTCATATTTTATTATATAAATCTACTTGTTAGTTTTTTATGAATTAGTTATCAAAATAAAAGTTATAAAAATAAATTTTTGGTTACCTGGTATATCCTGGTATACCATTTGCGTATTTTTTCATAAGTAACTCAATTTATTTATAATTGAAATAATTTTCTGCAGCTATAGAAACTGTGGCATTTTTCAAGCGACGCAGAAATACACATAGAACGAAAAAAATAGCCAGAAATGCAGGAGTTTAAGTTCAACAAAGTTATAATCTATTTTTGTGTGCTATTCGTCAGTTTCACGGCGCAAATGATTATTTCTTATTTATGCAATTAACGCGAATAAAGCTGAAATAAAACTGAAATAAAATAAGCCGTGCAACTCTCATTTTATACCTACTGCATTTAAAAAATCTAATTTAAAGTATTTGAGAGTAAACAAAAAATAATATCGGACTGCGGTACAGATTAATAAACTTTTCGTCTCTATTACTACACATCTTGTTCCTTCGTATTCCCGCAGGAGCACATAAGGCAATCTAGAGAGAATCGCTTGGATGAACTAGGTCGAAAGTCGACGCCGTGCCCCATCTCGACTTCCAGAACGGATTTGCGCGATCGCGGCAGCGAGTCGCCCAGCTTGGAAGTTTTACCTAGCAAGGAACTTATACCACCCACCACTCTAATACCGCAGGAGTACACCAAAGATCTCGTCCTCGAAATGACGTACAATACGAGCGACATCACCGACATCCACCAGAGCAATAATGTGAGTAACGCTACGCAGGAACGCCTGCAAGAATCTAGCGAGGAGCCGGAGATGCGCGACAATTGCTGCCAGACCAGAGAGAGCCTTTTCGAACCGCGGATACCGGACGCGGTCACGCCGCTGGGCTTCACGACCTTCGGCATACGCCCACCAAGCTCTCAGAACGGGACCAATCATCACCATCACCATCACCATCATCATCATCATCAACTGAGTCCGCAGCGATCGCACCAGAGTGCCCAATCCTCGCAGCCGACCCTGCAATCGTCGCAACAGAGTTCGCAGCAGAGCGCCTCTCAGTGCTCCGGCTGCAGTCCAGCGTCCCGCGGACGGGACGGCAGTATGGGCATCTGCCCGAAGCACAATCCTATACCGGCGCCACCCGGCTGGTCCACGCACGAGTCCAGCTATCCACTGCCGCAGTCTGCTCAATATCCAGAGCAATTAGATTACCCGTCCTATCAGAGGTTCCAGAGCCCTAAACCCAGCAGGGAGCCTAACAATGTTTATCGACAATCGCCTAAGTTCACGCGACAAACTACCGGCGGTTCCGGCGAGAGGTATGGCAGTTCCATGTATGGATCCGGTCACGCTTCCAGTAACACCACATCCAGCACGTCGCAACACTCGTCCGGTAACACACCTACCAAACGACAGCCTCAGCCGGATCCGAGATACCGGGCGGAAGCGGTGATCGAGGTGGATCAAAGGCGGCCATTCAGCATAGAGAGCACGAAGAGCGCCCCGGATGTAATCGCGACACACTGACGCCGGGGTCCTGGGGATTGGGAGCCCTACAAGAGACGCCATCCCCGTCAATTTTATTCGGCGGCGACTCGTAGCGACAGTGTTAATAAAGTGACCGTCGCCACGCAGAGCTCCCTCGACGACGACGCCTCAACGAGTTCCACTGTGGAAGCGAACTCCTCCTCCTGATCCACGTGTCGCGACGCGTTCGATCGCAAGAAATCGAACGAGAATTTGCCCGTGGCCGATGATTCCTGTGAATCGTCGAGAATCGGCCAGATTGGCGAGAGATATGTCAAAGAATCTGCGAAGGAATCAACTAGAGTAAAAGAATCGGCAACAGTCATTGATTTATCAAATTCGAACAACGTTAATGCAAAGTCTCGGATTGACGGTCCTTCCACTTTGCACTCGATAAGTCGCGTTGGCTGCACGACTGCAGGCGATTCGCCGATTTCGGGATCGCGGCGAGCGAAAGCAGCCTTGAAACTGCACGATTTGCCGATTCTGCAACCGCCGGAGGGCTTTAGGGTTCCCATATTCAGGTGCAGAACTCCATCTCTTTCCTGGCAACATTGCGGGTGTCTCTCGCATACACACCTGCCGCCGCGGCAATCCTCGATCACCTGGAGTGCCTTTGAGCGATGCAACATGGATCCAATGTATCGCACTTGGCCTAATCGAGCCGCGAGGAGATTTGGAGGGCCCTCGAGGAGAACGGTCGGTACTCAGAGTTCCCTAGATGGCGTCAGATCGTCTCTCGGCATTCTTCGATGCGTCGTCAGGTCGATCGATATGACGGAGAAATCGTTCGATCAAGAGATCGGAGCCTCTATACCTTTCTAGTGTTTGTTTTACAGTTTGCTTCGCAGCACGGGCGACTTCGTGTCGACATTTCTGTACAATAATGCGCACACGCTTCGAGTCTATGTGCGAATCGCCGTTTTCCCGAGGAACAACGTGAACTCTTTCGAGCGCGGGCTCGACGTTAGCCGTGTCGTCGCTAAGGCGATAGGAGAGTGTATCAATCATGTACATAGCTGCGGTACCTAACTTAGTGCGATCCAAAGTGACGACTGTACACGTTCAAAACTTCACAGTCGAAACACCCGTTTCCTAGCAAAGGAGATAAAAATAAAAGAAAAACATAGTGTTGCAACCATTGAGTGGTCCATATAAGTAAGACAGTCTCTTGGTGATATCACAAATTTGTAACGGAAACCGCTCGCGAAAATCATGCATTTCGCCACGTAAATATCGCGAACGACAATCACTGCCTTTCGCGTTATCTGCGAGACGGACGAGATGTGAAAATGGAGCGAAAAAAAGAGCCGGATCGTAGCTTAATCTTCGGGCTAGTACTTAAGAGCGATTAAATCGAGTAGCTTGAAACATTCGTGATACACGATGGAAAAAAAGAGGAGAGGAAGAGACGCACCGTCGATTCCGGAAAAAGATGGAAAGATACTTTCGCTGTTGAACTTGCACTCCTTGAGTTTCAAATACGTTAGTATTTATTTACCTTAATATGTTTTAATATTTTCTCATGCACATTTTCTTTTAGCACGACACCGCGACGACTTCGGTATATTTGATATTCATCTAAAGCTTGCAATGCGGAATGAGATTGCGCCGGTGAGATTAATATTGCAGACCATCAAAAAGAATTTACAGTTTAAAAAGTGAAGCGACACGTTTTGGACGTTTTTCCCATTTTAAATTAAAATCTCATTAATTTTCCAGACTATTGTTACTCTTATTTTTATTACAGTGCAGAGTAACCCCTGCTGGTGCAACTTTATCGCTTTCTTTTGATCGTTTGAATAACTTTCTCGCAGCATATAATGCGGGACAATGCACGCTTTATCGATACTGCCGATCAATTTTTGTGAAATCTCGCGGGCTTAATGAGACGTAACATATCGGGAACGGAACTTCATTCGATCCAACACGTAGCACCGCCCTGGAAACAGAGGCGGGAACCGAGAGCTATTAATCACCCGTCAGCCGAAGAGGAAAACAAACTTCCACGATGGTCTGCAGTCTTTCCCACTTTGCCGCAGGAAAAGATGCGAGTAAAGTAGCCCGCGGGGTTTCCTCCGTACGAATCGTCGGAGGCGACTAATTATTTCGATCGATTTGAGATCCTCACCTCGTGAATCGATGTCGGCGCAAGTTCGGGAAAGAAATCCGGAGCAAATACTTGGTAAAACCATTGGATTCATAAAACACTGTATTTCTCCGACTCGTTGTATTCCAGTCACGTAATCTCACTATATGCTTCGCGAAACAATACTTCTTCTTTAACAACGCTGCGCGCAACGTGCTGAAAGACATTTCCATAAATTTTTCCTAAAATCAGCAAAACTAAATCAGATCAAGATTAACGTAAGAGTAAAAATGCGATGTTCTATGAATCTAACGATTTTGGATGCGTGTTTACACCCCATTTTTAATCTTAAAAATGTCGATTGAGTTACGACACTAGATAGAAATGCAAGTACAAGTCTTAATCTTCGGTATTGTTCAACGATACCTCGCGCGAGAGGCATCGATCGGGGGAAGTTGAGGGAAGATCGTGATGTATTGGCGCGTACACGAGGACGATTAGACAAAATATTTTTCCACGTGATGATTCCTGCGAAAACATGCGAGTCTGCGTGCGCTCGGTCAACAGATAGTTCAAGAAATGCATTTATAGTTCGTAATGCACACACGCATATACATGCACGCATGAACGCATCGCCCGATCGTGCCAAATCTGCATTTCCGATCGACTCATATGCAGCTGTTCGTGCTTCACAACGAATGCGATATTTATTTCCATCGTCGACGTGCAGGATGTAAATATATTCGGCAGAATTATCAAACAAACGGCAGCGTTACGTTTATTTTACGAATGCCGAAGGGGATGTCTGAAATCACACACGGTTTGATAATCGCACGAGTATGCACACGACGGCTGCATAGTTTCCGCTGCCTCGTCCTTTGTAATGTCTATTTGCAAACCACTACATTGCCAAGCGGTTTTCCATCAAGATTATGTGTTATTCTTCTTTCGCATGACTAATCCGTTCTAAATGTTAACAATATTATATGCTAATATATGCTCTGTTTACTAATTTGCAATTTAGTTGATCAAAATAGTGATATAAACCAATAATAATAAGTTATACGTAATTTATATGCCATTATGTATATAGTGCATAATTATTTTGACATGTGTATTTGACATGATATTTAAAATTTGTCGCGATAAAATAGTTAGAATCTACATTTGATAATTTCACAATTTTTTTAAAATTTAGAAAAATATAATTTATTATTTCACTCAATAAGTCGATAGTTACATACTCATCTATTGGAGATGCCTTGTTGTGTCTATTTGTCAGACAATTTTTTATTTAACTTTTAATTATCTCTAATTATAGCTTTAACCAAAAATTTAAAGTGGACTAATAGTTTTCTGTGACTCTAATTCAATACTCATTTTTTTAAATGTTAAGCTTTTAAGAATGTTTATAGAAACCTACAATCTTTGATTTAGAAAATAATATATGTATGTCGTTATTGTTATTAATGTTATTACATTATTGTTAGTAAAAAATATATAGAAACAATTGCATATATTTGTGTGTTACGACAAAATTCGACAAATCTCTTTTGGTCGCCATCGATAGACTCGAGTTCGTTACAAGGAAACACGAGTGACTTGTATATATGTATAGCCGTACATATCCGACGCAGCAGTATTAGCGACAATGTATACTTCGTTGACGAGTGTGATTTGTTTTCATGTGTCCCTTGGAGCCATTTCTGCACTAATGGCTGGCAACGTCACACAGCAGAATACAATAAAAAAATAAAAAAAAAAGCGGAAAATACGACCGTGCGTGCGCAGACCACAGTTGTACTCACGACCATTGCTAATTAAATTAGTCAATTAAATACCGATCACAAGCGTGTGAAAGTTGTGCGCATATAACTATGATTGCGAGGATTATATTCATCGCAGTTGTGAAACGAGTCAAAAATTATCGAGCACTCGAAATCTCCGTTTGTGTACAGACAACGTGTTAACGTTTAACGTATAGAAGGGAATGTACAGAGTGTACACATTTGTATATAAAGTATCTCTACAATGCGACTATCAAGAAGATACATGAGACGGATTATAAATATAGTACTTTTAAAGTAAATCACTTGTATATACATTTTTTCCACCTAATTTGAAAAGTGTATTGTAAAACTTTCAGCCATTATTCGAGGTAAGTTAACTTTGAGCAGCAGAAAATCGATAGAAGATATTAGCAGTTTATTTTTCTGTTATTGTTAGTTGTACATTTTATGTTCTTTAAAACTGTTATTGTTTATTTAATAACAATCATTAAGCAAGCATCCATTAATTAAGCAATAATTAAAGAGCATGTATTTTGGTGCAATTACGTTTCCTAATGAATTTATTTTACTATTTGATTTTTTGCTCGCCCAAGTCTTAGATCCTTAATACAGAGCGCAGACCTAGTGTTCGTTTCGCCATATTTCATAATTAAGCTTAAACGATTCGAAAGTTACCTGTGAAATTTATTCTATCTCGTAATTAAGAAGTATGATTTTTTCCCGCCGCTGGAAATGCTCGCTCGTGGTAGCTCCGTAGCTTTATGTTGCCATTTTTTTTTTCACTTTTTCTATACTTTACACGTTTTCATCTCGCCGCATAAGCAGCAATTCCACATATAAAGCCAAGTAATTACAAGCGAAATAAAATATCATAATATCCGATAATTCGCAGTGAATACCTCAAGCGTGAATTATGTTACCGTATTTTCCGCGTCATTCTAACACAATATTCATTATGAATGTTTTATTATTTATTTCGCATATATAAACTAATATTTTTCTTTGATATCTGTGTCATAATGTACAAGCAAAACAAATAAATATTTTGTTTCAATTTTTCCATAATTTATTCCATATTATATGCAGGTATATTATTTCAAATAGATATATTTTCATAAATGTTAAGCAAACATTTTAGAGCTTTCTATTTTTTAATAAAAAGTGATTCTTTCGTAATATTATTTGAATTAAATCAATCTTTTTTTTTTGGCTAGCATTATATAATAACGCTATGCTAATTATATCATTAAAACTTTTTATCGTATTGTTGATGAGATTGTGTCGAATCGTTGTAACAAAATTGATTTTTTTTCTAGAGAAACTGAAAAATCCTACAATTAATAGCAATGTAATAAAATAATTTGCACAAATTTTACTTCGATTTTTCTGACAAACTTTGCGGCGAAACGAGACGAGTTGACATGAATTATGAAAGCAAATGAAGCGATTCGTTGGGAAACCACACATACGAAATGCTTAATAATGTAATTCACCGCACTATAACCACAAGCACTTATACCTTACATCCCAAGTATATACATCCCGGCAAGCTACAGCACATATGAGTTACAGCAGTCGTTGCATCACGTCAAAATGTAAAATTTTTAAAGTGAAGATGCAATATATCGCTCGAGGCAAACAAAGCCGATAGGATTTTGATTTCCTGACGCTTTCCCGTTTATAAACGCGCGCGCGGTCCTTCTTCATGAATTTATTCATAGCAAATATAAAACTATTCATGAACTAGATTTGACTGTGTGGTGTGTCGCTGGTCGAATCGTCGTCGCGGAGAAATGGCGCGTGAGTTACGCGATTCGCTGTGCCTTTGCGGCGCAGTTGTGGCACAATTTATCGCCGCAGCGACATTGAGCGTGCATAACGACGAAAAGTTTCGATACGCAACGGGAAACGGTGCTTTACAGTGTGGATATAACAATTTTTTGGTCAGGCATTTACTCAAACACAGTCTTGTTCAAAAGTATAAAACATTTCCAATAAATTGTGATAAAGCAAACTAGTTAGAATTAGTTTTCAATATTGAAACAAAACTGAAAACCAATAATAAATATTTGAAATATGTATATATTGTTGATCATATTGTGATTATTAAGTTTTATTAAATGTTTAATGTAAGAATCCATTAAGCTTTTAAATATTTAATTTTCTGATTTTTTAATTTTAGAAATTGGAAGAAGCTGCCGATTTTAAGAATACTTCATTATTTGTGATAATTTAGCATAAAAGTTTATATATGCAATAGTCCATTGTATACTTTCATTTTTAATACTACTTAATTTAATATCTTACAATTTTTTAAAAATATACTAGATTTTTGACCAAGACTGTACAAATATGGACCTTCGCATATCGTTGCACTCGTTTCACCGCCTGTTTGTCAACGCTAACTAAATATTTTTGCAGTACGGAAGAGTTGTTACTGGCTGTGGTACAAATGCACATATTCGTCAGCACAGAAATGGCAACGTTTATCTTCGCTACGGCACAATGTGTTATGAGTTTTAAGTCGTAACATAATCCAGATATGCTTTTTGCATTTGTTGTAGTTGAAAATACGAATTTTATATGTCTCTATAAATCAAGAAACATTTTGCAAGTAATAAAAATATCATTTGCAAATTTTTGTGTGTTTAAATTGGTGCATATATAAACCATAAATTCAATGCATATTTTGCTCTAGTTTTAGAAGAGTGCTGAAAAATATATTGATATTTTCAATAAACTATGGAACTATGGAACCACGGAAAGATAATCCTACGCAAATTTTTTTTCTGCAATAATGCGGATAAAATAGTAAAAAAGCGACAAAAAATTTAGAGAATTTATTCTACATCACATAAAATTTGTAAATATAAGTGCTTCTAGTGCATTGTCCTATATTTTTACTTATTTATTAAATCAGATTACACAGCTAGATTTTTCACATTAAAGTTGCAACCACGGCGTGCGCAAGCATGGTTTACCGAAGTCGAAATTAGCGATATCTCCGGGAGTAATCTGGATTACACAGCTCGGAATAATTAACCGAGAATAGAGTAATTAGTGCTACGTTCGTCGCAGTTCTGATTAAATTTTCACGTGCTGGTAACAAACGTCCGTGGAGGGACTACAATTCGGCACTACTGAAAACTAAGAGTCAACTAAGTCAAATGTGGAATGCGAGAAATACTGATAAAAAAATTACACAAATTTATACATGAATGCTTCGCAAATGCCAACCAAATGCTTTTTATTATTTCTCCGCAGAAAATTCCTCAAGGCAATAACAAACTACGTTTGCGATCAAGTTGTTTGACGAACAAGTTTATTTGAACGCAAAATCGAAACTGGAGACAAAACATAAAAGTTATATTTTACATTTATAGTTCAGAAGCAAAGTTCGATTTTATAGCATTGCATTCGTTAACGACGACGTTTCTTTGTGCGTTCAAAGAAACTTCTATTTCAGTTCATTAAATCTCGCCACACCCGAGCCATCTTCAAATACTTGCTTGCTTGATTTGATATCTTTCCAATATTGAAGAGAGCTTTCAATAAAAAGAATGAGCTGTATGTCATAAATCTCTTTTTTTATTCTTACTTCCAGAAGCGAGCATTTAATTTGCTTTTAATGAAGTGTATTGAAGCAATCCAGAAAGCAAGTTATAACGAAGAACAAATTTATCTTGAAGTATATAATAATTTGTCGCACAGTATCAAGATAATAGAATTCTTTTATAAAAATGAAGAAGATATAAAATGTAGTCCAATGCCTAATTTTCTCTTTCTAGCCGAGAGAATAGCTATTGTTTTATGCGAAATATGTAATAACTTGAAACACCGCCGCTATATTCTCTCATCCACCCGCGCGCGGTATTAATCCCTCAGTAATCTTTAAAAATTGTTTCCTGCAAGTTTAACGAATTCATTTTGTAACGTCGTGTATGAACTCGCTAAATATCGCGCATTAAACCTTGTTATGTGTGTTGCACACCGGTGGCAGCAACGTTGAATGCATTTTTAAGAGCATCTGACTAAAATTTCTAACAGTATAAAGCGGCATTAAACGCCGGAATGGGCCAATTCCACTGCGTTCACCATGCAAGAAGGAATTCCACCGCAGAATGTATCTATATTACCTTACGGATTAAACATTACCTGCGCGAGGCGAGAACATTTCCGCGGAAATGACTCTCCGCCCCTTTTACGACTTTTATTCTCCGTAATGCATTTCTTAGCGAAAAGACTGCAACTGCGTCGCAACCTCCTATCGATTCACGCCCATATAATTTAACGCTATCTTCTAGCAAATAATCGTTTTATATGTATTTTATTCCGACCACAATCATTATTATTTTATTATATTCAGTAACGTATATTGCGTTCAGAATTAATTTTATATAATTTTAACTCTCTTACAAGTCGTTCGAGACTATATCTTAAGACATTAATCGAAATATCGGATTAGTCAACGTCAAATTAGTCCACTGCGAACTTAACTACACATAAATCGGATAATCGGATCATGCTGCTGTCATTATGAGCACCAGCTTGCGGCTGGGATTTCTCCTCGCCGCTGATGTTTAATCTTTCTATTCCCGCACCGAGAGATTCGAAGGGAAAATCTGGAAGAGATCAAACGGACATAAGTAATAACTTATAGAACACTAGAGAAACACAGAAAGACTTTTTTTCTTCTTGGATCGAGAAATATTATCCAAGCTTGTATCTCTTTTGCATCTAACTTAATGATGTGCATCTTTTTTTTAGACCTTGCTCTCTAAGTTTACATGAGATTTTACGATAAGTAAATGTGGCTCAAAATAATTTCGTTTTTAAGTTTATGATGGAATAAAATATATCAATCATGAAAAGTTTCTGTAGAAGAATAAATATTTTGTGATCTATTTGGGAAAGAGCACAAGAGTGCACATTCTCGGTAAATTATAGCCACCATTCACTAAAGAAGAAATAGTA